ACCAGAAGCAAATAAATATTATAGATTCGTAATATGTCATTTCCTTACTTGTATAACCTACAATCGATTTTTCAATACACCAAAGTGATGAAAACTTGAAAACAAGAGAGAAAGATTAAAAATTTATGTTCGGCCTTTTTCCATCATTTGTGCGATCAAAAGTTGTGCTGCAATTTTACCTACTATCGCGTTTTTCAATGCCATCGAAATCGGGATAAAATAACATTCATCCATCTATTCCATATTTTCGATGTTAGTCGACACAACAGTTACGGAAAAGGCATCTCCGTTGAACTGCATTCAGAATAACAAGTCGCATAAACGTGACACATGGGGCTGCGGCGCCGTTCATTATGCTACACCTAATGCAGTTCGCCCTCTCGTGCTTTCCCCAGCGCCCTGTCTGAGTCCGCCCGGCCGCGAGGGCACAGAAAGGCCTCATAAATCGTTCGCCAACCATATCGAGTGGGTTAGGTCGGGCTCCACCACTCGACAATGTCGCCACCATCGCCCCGCCACGATTTACGGGCAGACACTTCGCTGGAATCGCTGCTTGGGCCTGGACGGCGCGGCGCGGCGAGGCGCACCAGGGCCGGTTGATGTACAGCTTCCTTGAGGAGGTCGCGCCGCCACCTTCTCTCAATCCACCGGCTGAGATGGCTCGGAGCAACAGGGGTTTTACTGCTACCTCTGACCGGGAGGTTCTATGATGACTCATTGCTAGTGATTCCGGACGCGTCGACTGCTAAGGCCATTGGTTCCGTAGGTGTAGTGTGTATTGTTCCTTGAGAGGTAGTGGTGAGCTTCTCCCGCTGGATGGCCCCGGGCGGTTCTGAGGTTCGTGGTCCGACGATGGCGGATTTCCGACGCTAGATATAGTTTTACGTCGCATTCAACTGTAGTCTGCGGGATAACGCTGGCAGCCGGCTGCTCCGATCGATCGTTCTCGTTTGTTTTTCCAATCAATGCCAGACGAATGCCGGGGCAGGACATTAAGAAAGGGACCACGGATCGTGAACGATCTTTCCTTTTCCTTGACGTCGGCTGTCTCTTTTCTTAGACACACTAAGTCTTACATGTCGAGATTATCACACATGTTGAGAGGGCGAATAAGCGAGAGTTAGAGATTGTCCCTGTTCGGGCGTTGCTCTGCTGTAGGCATTAACTGAAAGAGATGCTGATGTGAAGTAGATCGGCGCCGGAGTT